GGCGAGAGGGAGGGCGCCCGCCCGCCGCGCCGCCGCGCCGCCGCCGGGCGCCGCTTTCGGCGGAGGACCGCGCGGGCGATCGGCGAGACGGAGGCTGTCCGCCGCCGCGACATGGCGATCGCAAGGCAAGTGCTTTGTCTCTCTGCTTTCCTCTCCCTGCCGCACGCTCGCTCCGAGCCCATCCGCTACTCCGTAGCCGAGGCGGGGGGGGGGGGCCCCGCGGTGGGGGAGGCGGAGCCGAGCGAGCGCAGCCCCTTGCTGAGCAGCGGGGAGCGCGGGCGGGCAGCGAGCAGCGCTTTCCACGGGCGGAGGTTGGCCTGCGCCGCCGTGCTGCTGGCCGAGCTGCTGGAGCGAGTGGCCTTCTACGGCATCACCTCCAACCTGGTGCTCTTCCTCAACGGGCCTCCCTACGGCTGGGAGGGTGCCCAGGCCAGCCAGGCCCTGCTGCTCTTCATGGGCATCACCTACCTGGTGTCGCCTTTCGGTGGCTGGTTGGCTGACGCCCTCCTGGGGAAGTTCGGCACCATCCTGCTCAGCATGGCGCTCTACCTGCTGGGCATGCTGGCCTTCCCCGTCATCGCCGCACCGCACACCCGCCAGGGCCTCTGCGGGGACATCCCCTTGTTCCCCATAGAGAACTGCTCCTCTCCGGCGGCCAATGCCACCGTGGCGCCTTGCTCCCAGGTGGGAGCCACCCGCTACTGTGCCACCGCCACCTTCGTCGGACTGGTCCTCGTGGGGCTGGGCGTCGGGTCGGTCAAGGCCAACATCACCCCTTTCGGGGCAGACCAGGTCAAGTATTATTTGGCAGCTGCCAAATCGTTTGTGGGTGCTGATCTGAACCAGGGGATGGCTGTCAGTGGTGCAGAGGGGCTTGCTTTGGTGGGATGGACAGTGCACCAACTGATTCACATCTCCATAGGTGTTAAGTCTCAGAGGGGATCAGATCATCCAGCCTTGTTCCCTCTGTAATGCAAGCTGTTAAGTTGTGCCCTGTTTGATATAATTTTGGTGTCTGTGTGGTGTCTGATCTCTTATGACCCTTGGTTTCCTCATAGCCCTGCCTTAGGTGCGCTGCCTGATTTGACTAAGCCATCACCATCTTGAGGTGTTTGGTTGAATGCTTAATGGCCACTAAGTGGATTGTTAATTGTCCTCCATTGTGGAGTTTGTACCCAGTTAATTTGACCTCAGAGCTCATCAGGTGAAATATCTGATACACATTTTAGCTTTGACAAAGATAGCATGGGCCTTCTAGGGCAGTGGTCAGAGGCCTTTATCATCCTGTGATAAATGAAGGCTAGAGAACAAACAGTTCTTTATGCTTTAGGTATTCTCTGTGTACTGCACTGTGCTTTTAAGTGATATTTTTGTGCAGGCTAATGTTGTGCCAGATGACGGGTGGGAAGATGCTCTCAACATGGTAAACATATTACCTGTGCTGTTCTCATAAGGACATGTCGTGTCCAACGACCTTACTCAGATCCACTTCAGTGATATCATTTATTGGATCATCACTGCAGAACCAAGTGGCTTTACAGAAGATATTTGAAAGGCAGCTCATAGTTCAGTATCAACTGGAATGCAGGGTTGCATGTATTTTTTTACAATCCTATGCTAAGGTAGTATGCTGACTGTGGATGTTGAATTGGAGTATAATTTCTGTTTTACAAATTGAGAATTTCAGATGCTTAGATACTGAGCAGCTTTTCTAACCAAACCGTTCTTGATGACAAAGCAAGGAACATGCCTCCAATCCAGTTGCATGTCTGTTTCCTGGCCCATTGAGTTCTGGTTAGTGCAGGTATCAGAAATGCCATGAAATTCTTTGTGAGAGGTAGGATCTACCGCAATATCTTTGCCAAACATACCTCTGGTCTCTGCTGTGCAGTTTACATTTGTCACTCTTTGGCATTTCATATATTATAAATTCTGGAGTTCCGGGTGAAAGGCAGTATATAAATGTAAAACATTATTATAGCCTAGGATTGTGTGTCCCCAGTGTATTGGTTCTGTTTAAGCCAGCATGAGCCCATCAAGTGAAATAGCTTTAATATGACTTTATCTTGTAAGGTGTTTTTCAAAACTGACTGCTTATCCCCAAAACACTTTATGAACGTTAAATATAAGAGATAAATAATGGCAGGAACAGAGCAAAAGAAGAACCATTGCCAGTGGAAGTGTAGCTGTTGTAGCTGGATTTTTTAAAGGCTTTCCCCCCAGGATTTCACGGAAAGCAGTTTTTGGCTAGGTTTGCAGATAATTCACAGTGATTTATGTAGGGTGAAGCAAAAGAAATACTCCTTTCTGGTTCATAATAATCAGTAGAGCTCTGCTGAGGACTGAATTTTTCCCCTTCTCTGTTTTTCTCGCTTATCTATTGTTAAATATATTACAGCATACCACTTACCTGGTTGTGCAGTTCTGGGCCCTCTTGGGTGCCTTCTCCCTGCATAGGAATGTAGCAAACTGCTGGGTAGATGGATGTGTATTGCTGAGAATAAGGTCCGTCTCCCGGAGTTGCATTCTTGGGAGGCCAGAATACAATGCAAACATGTTTTGGCTGGATGTGTGCTGATAAGATTTGTCCTCTTTCCC